CAGCTTTTCATATTTTAAGTACTAGTCATTACTTTTCAATGAAACTTTGTACATAGATGATCTAGAACTATGCAGAGCCCTGATTAGGCATGGGTAAAAATATTTGCATATTAATCAGCTAATTTGCATAATTTGATAATAATACTAATTAATACAAGTACAACTTATCACGTTTCAATAAAACTTGCTGCATAGTTCTTCGACATTGCACCACAGATCTGTTTGGTTTTGAGTAAAAATCTGTGCATATTAATTACTTAATTCGCCAATTTCCAACTTTCACACTGATATCACAAGTACTAATTATTCAATTTCAATGAAACTTTGTATATAGATGCTCTAGAAAAATGCACAGACCTGCTCAATTTTGGGTTAAAATCAAATCATATTAATTACCCAATTTGTATAATAATTCATTGATTCTAATCACATTTCTTTGACAGTTCTTTTCTTAATTCAGTAAATCTTGGTACATATATACTAACACACTGATGATCAAATTAGTTTTGGGTTTGTATACATCTATAATAATTACCTAATTTGCATAATAATTTACTCTTTAGCTTCCCACTAATTTAGTTGAGATTACTTTATAATCACTATACATCACTTTATAATGAAACTTTGTACATGTGTGCTCTGAAACCTATGAGAACCTAACTCTATGCATAATAATATAATAATAATGCATATTAGTTGCCAAGCTTCTCGTTTGAAAAGCATTAATTTAATTTAATTAATTTTAATGTGTCTCCAATACTCTCGACACACTGGAGTTCTTTCTAAGTTTTCTTCGATCTTTATTAGAAACGCGTCTTTAAAAAAAATTTGTAAACAAAAAATTCCATTAATCATTCAAATACTCTGGTATATTCATGCTCTGTAATTCACAAAAGTGCTTGCACTACTAATAGAACAAATAATGTCGCTTTTTGGGTGGAGGGGTGGAGGGGTCTGGTACTAGTTTGCAGTTTAATGATTTATATTTGTTTGAAATATCAATCTGCATTCAAAATGAGCTAATTTGCATAATTGGTTTTACATGGAATTATTACCAGCGATAACAATGATTCGTAATGACACTAATCATTTTGATTCTTTTGTTATAGAGACGATATGATGACAGTGATTCAATGGATGATTTTATAAATGATACGGATGATGATGAAGATTCCGCTTCAACTAAATCTAGTAGTGATAGTGATGATGTTATTGACATCACTGAAGATAAACTTCCCGCAAAAAGGTAATTTCCTGTTTAGAGCAGGCATTCACAGCAAACTTTGCTCAGAAAAGATGCATTTCCTACTTATTTGTCAAATACTTTCAGAATTTGATGCAAAATTTATCGATTTTTGGTGAGATGCAAATGACTTGAATTTCTTAAATTTAAAGTGTCGTAGTGAGTTGTTTAAACGATCAAGCCAAATGTGGAAAAAATTTGGAGATTATTGATTATACATTATTGTATATGTGGTATTGATTGACCAATGAGAATGCATCATTTCAGTAAGTATGATATATTCTAAAAATATATTGCAGTGATAACAGGTAGAGTTAATTATTTTCAATACACTCTATTCACAGGAAACGTAGACGCGTTAACGACTCCGATAGCAGTTTAGAGGTGGTTAATACTTGGAAAAGTAGTACCAGAGGTGGAGAGGGGAAAGGAAGAGATGCAGGTATGATCAGAGCATTAACCTTTTTGCCATCAGGCTTTTTCGCCAAAATTTGTTTGCTCATTTTTTCTTAAATTCTTCAATATTTCTGGAAATGAACTTTAATTTTGGAGCCAACAGACAAAATTTGAGTGAATTTTCAGTTTTTACTAAAAAAAATTGGCTAATTTTGTCCCAATTTTCTGAAGGAAAGTGCAGACTATAATGGAACGATTTAGTGAATTTGTGATGAAAAGTAGGAACTCGTGGTAAAGGTTGACCAGATTCCTCTACAAAACTGAAAGTTGTAAATGTCTGTCAGATTTGGCGTCATTTCATAACTTAATTTTTACATCTGTCTTTAGAAATTTCAAGCTAAAATGAAGAATATTTGCATATTTTTTAACTTTCACTATTATGGGTTCATGTCATCGAAGAACAAAAAATACGAGAAAAAGTTGGGACTGTTTTTTGAGATACAAGAGTCTAAAATGTCATGGGGAAAGGTCATTTTTACATTGGTTTCTATGATGAAATTATTTTTCATACCTCAAAATGAAGAAGTTGTAATTGATATTGATTCAAATTCAAATATTATTAAAACGTTTCAAATTTTTTTATTTGATTTGGTCAGTTTCTATTATGTACAATGAATTTCTTTCCCACAATGGATTGTATATATGTGTAAGTAACCTGTACAGTGTTGAAAAATGATTTCAAATCAAACTGCCCTAAGGACACGAGTGAAATCTACACTGCAATATCTCTCAAGAAATACATGTAAATTTCTTTTCTGAAATTAATGAATTTACAGTGTTTGATTTATGGGTCATTGTCACATGTATGAACACCTTTTTTTTCTACAATTGATATTTTCAGATCTTACCAAAAAGGTATTGATTACACATACAAGTTGAGTTCAGCTCAGCTCGGCTCTGAATTCAGAAATACCATTTTTTTTGCTGTAACCTTGCCAGTGTTATGTGTGACACAGGCGTATTCTTTTAGTTCTCTTTCTCATGGTCTGATTTATGTTCTCTAATTATTAAAGCAATTTAGTGTGCGTTTTAAACAAACCATGTATTTTGTTTGCATTGACCCTCCCCAAATATGACATTGATTGACTGGCTACTGGAGATTTAATTTGACCAATGTATATGTAACACTTGCTTGCCATTTTGAATATTACTGCATATATTACATGCAGATGCCTGTTAATATTTTGAATAGATTCAAGATCACAGACTCCTATATTAATTGATACAAGATGGTATAGTGAGATAGTGACACCTGAAGATGCATACAACATTGAACTTGGTGGAAAGTTGGTTCTTTTAATGGATGTACTTCAACTATCTGAAGATATTGGTGATAAGGTGTAAGTTGTAAACAAAAATTCATTACTTTCTTTTCAATTATTTTTTTTTGCTGCATTCTTTTGAGTTTATTTTGCCAGTTTGTCTTGTGATGTACAATAACAGGTTTTTTTCTAAACAGGGACGCAGCGCCCTGATACTCTCGAATGCTGATTGAACTTTCAAGTCGTAAATATATTTCTTGAGTCGTGCACTTCCGTGCTGCCGTACAACATGGAATCTTTCTCAAATATATTTTTCTCTGTGAAAACTTCCCAGCAACACAAGCTGACAATGTGTCTGGACACCAAAGACACTAAAATTACTCCAAAAATATTTCAATCGCGCAGAAACCTTCTGATATGGCGTTTCCAGGTCTATCGTCTGTGTGTGCTCTCTCTTGTTCATTTTTTCTAAAAAAAAACCACAATTAAATGCCAGATGTGTAGCATAATTATATCTGTCCAGCATCACTCAGCTGTGAGAGGAAAATACACACTGCTCGATTATCAGGTTCTCAGATTTCATAGTAGAGAAAATGGCATCCAGTCAGTTCTACATAAAGTGTTCAGTCCCATGTGCTGTCCTATCTTAGGTCTACATAAAACAAAATCACAGCATTTCTTGTAGCATCCAGTAATTAATAGACAATTTTCTGTTCACTTCGAGATCCTGCGTTATGCGTGAAATCAAACGTACAAACAGGACAAACAAAGGTCATAGCATCGTAGAGGTGGCAAACATCGCGTGGGATTCGATAAACACTAAAGTATTTGGGGGGTATTTCCATGCTTAATAATGTGCTGTACACATTTGATGATGGTCAATTTAGATGAAGTAGGGGTATCTAAATGCAATATTGTCCTGTCAAAGATCGACCTTTCGACTTTGAGCTATGAACAAAAGAAATTCTAATTCAAAATCAAATTGTTCGATTTTTACGACAGACGTTTGGCGTGCATCTTTCACACAACTCGTCAGATCTCGCAGTTGAACGGAAAATTGGCTATTGTTGTGGTGAACTTTAATACCCTCCATAGAGGTCAGTGGAATACAAGTCCAGTACTGTATTTAACAGGCTTCCCACTGTAAATTACAGTAAGTCTGCTTAAAATACTGAGAATAAATTACGAATAAAACAGAATCGTGTATTGACCATTTGCTTGAATCTCGGTATTCTAGTTTTGTCAACTAATGAAGATGTTCTATTGCTAATAGGTTAGTGTTCAGTCAGAGTTTACTGTCACTTGATATTATTGAGGACTTTTTAGAATATATTGAGACTAAAGCTGAAGAGGCTAATACTGGTGATGGTGAAGTTGAACCAGACCCAATCTTAAAGGTAAGTTTTGATTATGTTTGTAGTTGCCATTGTCCTTTGATTTTTCCTGCATTGATTGATTTTACCTATTCATCACTAACATCTGTTTTATATGCTTCTACCACAGTTTGCTACACAGGGTGCATGGGTCAAAGGCATTGATTACTTCCGAATGGATGGATCAACTTCGGCGCAAAATAGGAAAGCATTCCAGGATCTTTTCAATGATCCTGAAAACTTAAGGTAAACAGATCTTGCATTTAAGATATCATATTTTCTTTTTTTTATAAGTGAGTTTACTGTCAAGCAAGCCACATTTTAACCATCCATCATAACTTTATGTGGGGATTACATCGTCACTACGTGACTCCTGTCGATCTCAAGCAACAGAACAAAGTTCTCAAGTCAAATGTTACTTACTTGTCAACTGCCAGGTTCCAATCCATCGGGTTCCTAATGGTACACGATGAATGCAATTTTCACCATACACAATGTATGTGTGCTTCTATTCATGATGCGCTTCTAATTGAGCAAACTTGTGATATTAAATATTCATAACACAGAAACCGCCTCACCACATCTATGTTCCTATCAGTACACTTGGAAAAAAATCACAATGCAAAGTGTATTACAGTTCCTAATCTAATTATTATAATTTTTTTTTCACAGGGCCAGGTTATTTTTGATTTCCACTAAAGCTGGTTCTTTAGGTATAAATTTAGTAAGTGCTAATAGAGTGATAATATTTGATGCTTCATGGAATCCCACTCATGATGTGCAGTCTATATTCAGAGTTTACAGATTTGGGCAAACCAAAGCGTGTTTTATTTATAGATTTCTAGCACAGGTAAGGATCAAGACTAAAATATTCACTTTGTACATGTAATATTGTGCTTGATTGATAAATTATTGCAATAACTGATCCAAGGGTTTTTGCCCAATTTGAAGAATTTTTCTAATCTTATATCTTACTAAGGCAAGTGATTCAGTGAGTGCTTGCACTTATCGTTTATACTATAATGTATTACAATTTAACACACATTGCCTGTTGATGTAGTTTTTCTTCATTCATTTTGGCTATCCATCAGCAAGCTACTGTAAAATACTTTATTTTCACTGGAATTTATTTTCGCTGAAAAGACTTTTTAGGTGTGTTATATGGAATTTATTTTCACTGATTTTTGGCGAGTTGAATGTAAAAATATAGGAAAACAGGTATATTCGCTGAATTTTATTTTCACTGAATCATTCCTTTAGCGAAAATAGCGAAAATTAATTCCAAGCGAAAATAAAGTATTCCACAGTATAGCATGTGTTGAATAATTGTTGAGTCAAGTTTCTTTAGAAATCTCTGACTAGTGGCGGTCAATCAAAGTACCGACATTGGCAGCATGTTGTTTGTATCCTAGAGAGAACACTATTATGTAAGCAGTTGAAGTATGTAATGTGTAATAACATTTTTGGTTTGTTTTTGAAGGGTACAATGGAAGAGAAGATATATGAAAGACAGGTATGCTTTCATCTCAATTTTTAAATTCACAAATAAATTGTGTTTATAATTGTAATAAGACACCTTAATGTTTCAATTGTGTATTGTACTTCAATGACACTAATGCCCATATCTATGTATTGCTGAATGTCGAGGGTATTGTTCAACCAAATTTTATAATTCAACTTCACAAGGAGCATATGCAAGCCTGGCTTCCCTATATGGGTGCAACAAATTTCATATCGGGCTCCTATTTTACTCGCAGGTTAATTGAAGCAGTACTGTAAAATCTGTATTAGAAACTGCGGCTTCTATTAAAATGGTACAATCCAATAGAGGGGGTGCGGCTTCTATTGGAGCATCTACACATATGAGAAATGATGATTTTTTGGTTCCCAATTGTTTAAAAAGAATGGGTGCGACTTCTATTAGGGATGCGGCTTCTAATACAGATTTTACGGTAGTAGTGTTGAAGGATACAAGACCATGGTGTATAGCCTAAACTTAAACTCACAACCCTGTGTCTACCACTCAACAGAAATAACCAATAACACTTTCCTTTATTTAATGCAGGTTACAAAACAGTCATTATCTCGTCGTGTCGTGGATCAGTTCCAAATTGAACGCCATTTTACCTCATCTGATTTGGCAGAGCTTTACAACTTCAATCCAGATGTGTATGATCCTGATAAAAACCAACCCACGCCTATGTTGCCAAAGGTCAGTCAAATAAAATATATATAAGTATAATATTCCTTTGCACAGCAATTTTGGGCTTGTATTATATTCTTGCTTCTATTGTTGTACCATGAAAACCCTCAAATAAGAGCCACTTTGTAACACTTTCATTTCTGGGTGGTGCTTATTTGAGGTAACATTTTGACAACTTTGTAGCCAGTGGCTCTTAAACCAGGGTGATCAAACTTTGTCATTGTGAAATGGGGAAGGGATAGGCAAACACACACACAACCAAAACAGACAAATAATTATTATTATTAATGATGTATCATTGCAATTAATTTATTCTGTAAAAATACTGTTATGGGAATAACAAATGTCAAATACATAAGAACGGCTGCTCGCCGACTGTGCTGCTTAGCGTACACGACGATTCGACGTTTCACCGACAATGTGTAGCGATGCCTGAAGTCATGTTTCACTGACAATGCGTAGCGATGCCTGAAGTCGGATTTGGTAGCATTCTCAGAGTCTGGCCCACACTTGTAATTCCGTTGTACAATTGTTTACCATGTCTGGTACGGCAAACTCCAATTTTTTTTCTTGAAAACTGGGAATAACTTGCGTGGCTGTGGCTGGCGTGGTGGTTGATTTGGTGACGATATAAAATAGTTTCAATAGAATTTATTTGACCAGCAGCGACAGGAGCATGGAACGAATGAAAAAAATTATGCCCAATCATTTGTATTTATGGCAAAAACACGTTTTTCTACAGATTTTTACAGCTTGGGTACTTGGGCATTGTTTTAATTGCGCTAGACGTCTGAAAGTACAGCTTTGGTTTATACATTTCCTGTTTCATAATCAAGCCAGCTTATAATGATATGTTAATGATATTCACGTACTTCACTGTCCAGGCAAACGGGGTCAAACTATAGCCCCACCCCTATATAACCAAATACAAAACGATACCGAGAAAGTAACAATTACATGTATTAAAAATAATTTCCTGTGACCAATCGGTGAGACTAAATCATTTAC